TTGGGTTTGAATCCCGGTTCGGCCCCAATTACGTTTCAAGGTTTGTCAGCACCATACCCATGCTCGTGGGTTTTACCATAGTGGTAAACATCTGAGACCTGCATTACTTCGGGCTTTCCTCCCACATTAAGCTGACACGCTGTGATATAACTGGGATACTGTTAAAAGCGGCGTTTAACCTAACTCACTCACTTGCTCACTCACTCAACATAGTATTTAAGTAGTATGTAAGGTGGTGGTTTGTACACAAGGTAGTGTAGTAGTTAAACCATTCACCCGTCATGCCGAAGGCCTGGGTTTGATTCCCAGTGTCCTAAATAACTGCCTGTCCACCTGCCTGACTGTGGTACATATTCAGTTTTACCACAACTCTTTGTAGATTCTCAAGTAATTGTTTGCATTATTTCAACTGAATCAAGACGTGATTTATCTATTATTTTCATGCGATTTTTAAATATTTATATTGTCTGAATGTGGGCAGGTAACTTTGAAGATGGGCAGGCAACACTTGAGGCTCACTTGCTTGACCTGTGTGATGTCATCTGCTACCATAATGTGACAATCAAATAACATCACTAATCTCACTGCCACTGAAGCTGGTTGGCTGTACTTTTAACACTAAAGAGACTAAGAGACTGGTCATTACTGTTTACATAGTGAAAAAGTTGTAGGAATGATTTGATTGTAGAAGTGATAAATACCCCCATGTCTTTGAAATCAAACATATCAACCCTCGTCAACAAAGTTTTCAACTCCTCAGTCATGCCTAGAGTTTTAGGCTTTCATCTTCCAGAACTGGCTTCCACAGGAGATATCGTTCAGCAAACTTCAGTTTTAAACGTTTATCGACTTGAAACATTTGATAGAAAAAACACACTCTATGAGATTCTCTCAATATGGTTCTGTCAGCAGTAGTGCTTCATGCTATAGCTGTATCTTAGCGACTTAGTCTCAATCAGACTAAATGGTGATTGATAGCATAAGCAACAATCCGTACCAACACACTGACACACAATCAGGCAAGTCACACATTGCAACTAGTCTGTCTCCCAGTCCTCACCATATTATTTTCCCTCCCACCCACCTCTTTCTCTAACGCTGAAGCTCTGAATGAAGCAAGTCTAGCTTTTCCTCAGGTTCTGAATCTCCCATCTCCCTGGGGCTCCTTTTTAATTTAAATGGAGTTATTTGTTTTTATCAAAATTATATATTTTCAGAGACTAAGCGTTAGTCTAACATTGCAACCACCTGACCGGATTTTAATCACCTGGTATGTTTGTTTGTTGTTTGATGTCGCACTCAGCAACATTCCAGCTATATGGAGGCGGTCTGTAAATAATCGAGTCTGGACCAGACTCTCTAGTGATTGACATCATTAGCATCAATCTACCCAATTGGGACACGATGATATGCATCAACCAAATCAGCATGCCTGACCACCCGATCCCGTTAGTTGCCTCTTATGACAATTATGGTCACCTTTTACTGCAAGCATGGGTTGCTGAAGACCTGTAATCATCTTGTACTGTTACTGTTACTGGCACTGGCACTGGCACTGGCACTGTAGTCAGCATGGGTAATGGGAACCAATTCTGACCAGACACCACCCAAGGGAGAACAGCTATCCTATAACCTTAACTGATACCATTATGTTAAATTCCCTCCACTCAATAAATAAATAGACTCAGCCAAATGCAATAAATAATCAAGCTTCTATAAAGTTATGGTACCAAGAGCACTAAGACGTTCAGGACAACTACAACCTGAGGTGCACTGTCCAAATCTTAAGTTCAAGAAAGTGTCAGTCTGTCCTTGCTAAAAGGGAACTAATGCTATGTAAGATTGAGGAATGCAAATCAATTTAGCTGAACAGAAAGAGAAGCTGTTGAGGGGATATGTAGCTTACTTCAAGTTAAACACTGGCCCAACATCATTATCAGTGTAAAATATACCGCCAGGAGGCCAGAAGGGTGGCGCTTTTTGGCGCTCTTCCACTGATCAATAGTGGAACTCTCCTGGAAAGATACAGACAAAGTCTTTGAAACCTATCACCCAAATCATGAATTTGATTTTTGAAAGTGATGGGAGAAAATTGCTGAATTAATAGTTTTTTGTGCTACTTCAAAAGGCTTAAGTCTTTTTATTGGGAAGGCTTGTGGGCAGATTGACATCACCAACAGGGCAACAGATACGATAGTGTGCCATTCCAACCAGGTTAAAAGTGACCTAAAATGTTCAAAATGGCTGGAACACTGGTGGTAATTGATCTGGTATTTAGCCTTGGGGCTGTGGCTACAGTGTTCCTGTACATCACACGCTTGGTGCCAGCTCCGAAGAGGAAGTAAAGCCTTGATCTATTGATCAGGAGGTTGCTTGTGCATTTACATCTAAATAAAATGAGATTTAATATAACTTTAAGGGCTTGTTATGATGCTCAGCCCTTATTTTTTATATTTCTGGAGAAGATTAAATAATGGTAGAACAATGGTAGTGATGCTTTTACTGATAATTAAGGAAGTTACAGTGTAAGCTGTGTCCTAAAACCATAAAGGCACCACAGTTTGCCATCCGACGATGCATCCCTCAAGTGTGCCAGAATCGTGTGATCATTGGTTTGAATCCTGACTCGTCCCAGTTTCTTGGTTTGTCAGAACTAGTAAATGGCTGGGACTGTCACTTTGGTCTCTTCCACGTTAAGCTGGCACATGGTGATATAACTGAAACACTGTTCAAACAGTACTCATTCACTGTATGAAAATGCATCCCTCAAGTGTGCCAGAATCGTGTGATTATGGGTTTGAATCCAGACTCGTCCCAGTTTCTTGGTTTGTCAGAACTGGTAAATATCTAGGACTGTCACTGTGGGCTTTCCGTCAACATTAAGCCGGTACAGGGTGATATAACTGAAACACCTTTTAAACAGTACTCATTCACTGTATGAAAATGCATCCCTCAAGTGTGCCAGAATCGTGTGATTATGGGTTTGAATCCAGACTCGTCCCAGTTTTTTGGTTTGTCAGAACTGGTAAATATCTAGGACTGTCACTGTGGGCTTTCCGTCAACATTAAGCCGGTACAGGGTGATATAACTGAAACACCTTTTAAACAGTACTCATTCACTGTATGAAGATGCATCCTTCAAGTGTGCTAGAATCATATGATCCATACCAGTTATGATTCTGGGTGTGTCAGAGCCATACCCGTGCTCACTGGTCTAGGACTGTATCACTTTCTGTCCATATTTAGCGTGCTCATGGAGATGTAACTGAAGTAGTATTCAAAGCAGAATTCAAAATAGGTCACTCACTCTCAAGCCATACACTCACACACGCTGACACTCACACACGCCATACACTCACACACGCTGACACTCACACACGCCATACACTCACACACGCCATACACTCACACACGCTGACACTCACACACGCCATACACTCACACACGCTGACACTCACACATGCTGACACTCACACACGCCATACACTCACACACGCCATACACTCACACACGCTGACACTCACACACGCCATACACTCACACACGCTGACACTCACACATGCTGACACTCACACACGCCATACACTCACACACGCCATACACTCACACACGCCATACACTCACACACGCTGACACTCACACACGCCATACACTCACACACGCTGACACTCACACATGCTGACACTCACACACGCCATACACTCACACACGCCATACACTCACACACGCCATACACTCACACACGCCATACACTCACACACGCTGACACTCACACACGCCATACACTCACACACGCTGACACTCACACATGCTGACACTCACACACGCCATACACTCACACACGCCATACACTCACACACGCCATACACTCACACACGCCATACACTCACACACGCTGACACTCACACACGCCATACTCACACACGCCATACACTCACACACGCTGACACTCACACACGCCATACACTCACACACGCCATACACTCACACACGCCATACACTCACACACGCTGACACTCACACACGCCATACACTCACACACGCCATACACTCACACACGCTGACACTCACACACGCCATACACTCACACACGCCATACACTCACACACGCCATACACTCACACACGCCATACACTCACACACGCTGACACTCAAATGTACCTTTGTCAGGACTGTTAATACAACGCAACAGTCGCATGACTAAATATGAGAGGAAGTGCCTGATAAATTGTACTTGACCATGCAAAAAGGTCATGCCTCCAACATGGCTGATTAGGTGTAAATGTTCCCCAGCAGTGCAAATTGTCCTCTAGCATACAAAAACTGTGGTTGCCTTTTCCATACTGTCCCTACTGTCTGATTAATTTAGTTGTAATAGTCTTGACTAACATCAACAACCCATCCTCATTTATCCAGGGTACTATATCTCATTTCTAATATTTAAACGTACCACCCTTTACCATTCTCCACTAAAACTTCATTTTGGGTGTGACGTTACCTATAATCTCAGACTTAGCACAGAATTCCACTTGCACATGAGTGTAATTTGACTGGATGGCTATTTATAGCATCAGGTAATAATAATAATAATAATAATAATAATAATAATAATAATTTTAAAAATAATAATAGTGCATTAGATTCCATTCACCAGGTGGATGCTCATAGCGCTTCTCTATTATTGCCCCGATCAATGGATCAGTGTGCACTCGATTGGCATTCTCAGCTCCCTGGGGTGTATACAACCCAAACCGAGGCACTTGAAGGTTAACAGCCACATTACGATCTCATCCTACCAGGTACCCACTCACATGAATCAGGCTACAACGAAGCTGCAGCAGCAAATGGGACCAGTGTATTTATCATTATAGAATGTATGTATTATACTCTGGATAGTCAAGTGCTAAACCCTATTCTTCCACACACTTTGTTGCACAAGGAGTTATTTGTATTTTCATTTCAACCTGAAATTCTTGTAACCCATCTTCATCTGTTTCCAGGTAAGATGGATTGAGCAGCAGAAGGCCAAGCTGCGTGTCAAGCGACAGTCATTTAATGATCCAAAATGGAGCATCATGTGGTATCTGGTAAGTGCCTGGCTATTTCGTCATCACATGTTTCATAATGACTCTTGTGAAACGACATAAATGGGACCAATTTGTTTGATTTTTGGTGAGAATGTTGTCTCAGATGTTATGCTTTTGAATTAAAAGAAAATAAATCATCTTGGGCTTTTGGTTCGAGCTTTCATGCAGCTCATTGTAAAGACAGGCATGCAGACAATTGCTACTCTCAAACTTGTCAAAACCCGGAAGGACTAGTTTTTTTCAACCAAAATCTTGTTATGATACGGAACCATTAGCAAAATGCCAACGGTTATGTTTTTGGCGGAAATATTACAATATTCTGCTCCAAATTTCACCGATACAAATAAAGTGTAATCTATTGTGACTTTTTTCAACAAACATCATGAGGAATTTAGATAAGTTATTGACCTCACTGCTTGGAATTGTCACCATTGCAACCAATTAATCATCAATTGATTGTCACATGTTTTATCTTGTGATCAGAAGCTTATCAGAGATGGAATTGCTATTGTTTTACCCCAATTATCACATACATTCCTAATTGCTGAAGTCTTTGGTTGTCATCTTTGCGCATGTCTGAAATACTCAGTCTACTGGTTGGTTAAGTATTATGGTGTCGCCCCTATAAGAGAGAACAAAATGGTGTGTGGATCAGGTGTCCACAATGGCGACACAGTATGGAAAGTACAGGGATTGGGACCACCTTGGAAGACTAACCCAGAGGTGGATCCAGAATTCTGAAAAAATTGCTCTCTCCCCAAGTCAAGAAATTAAACATGGATTTGACTGACGCAGGTTGTTGACATGTAAGATGTGTGAAAAAAGCGGAATGCTCACCCCCCCCCCCAAGTCAAGAAATTAATCATGGATTTGACCTACGCAGGTTGTTGACATGTAAGATGTGTGAAAGAAGTGTAATGCTCACCACCAAAGTCATGAACTTAAACACATGGTGGGACAAACACACAGCTTGTTGAAATGTAAAATATCTGAAAGAAAGGGAAATCACACCAAGGTTCCACTGTCCCTCATCTGAGAAGTATGACAAAACAGTAATTTAAACCCATCAAGCAAGAGAACAACCAGTCTCGATCATCCGACAAAACAGATTCCACTGGGCGCAAAATGACTATAAACTATATGAATGGATCCCTGAAAGTCAATGATGACACCAGGTGTGTATAAATATATAAATATAGGTAATTGGCTATTGCATAGTGTCCCATTCACTTCCAGGATATAACTGGAATATTGCTGATTGCAGCATTACACATCATTCACCTCCTGTCTCACTTAGACTAATGCTGAGCGTTTTGTTTTGTCATTGTATTGGACCAATTCCACCAAAGTGATCTTGATTCTACAAAGTTTAGCCTACGGTATATGTGGAGGGTAATGGCAGTGTGTACCTGAGGCATGCTGGTCCTTGCCGTGAAGGTATCACTGTCGGTTTCACTGAACATGTTTGTGTTACGCTTATGTAATCATATTTTTGTAATCATTTACCTATGACGTGTTTGTTGAAAGGATTTGCAGATGTTTTTCATGTTTTAAGATTGCACATGTTTTCCTTAACAAAAACATGGAGAAGGTAATTTGAGAAATGTAGAACATAGTATTCCTAAACCAAGGCAGCCACAGACATATTGGAGGCGGTATTGTCTGGAAGGGATATTCCTGAGTTTACTGTAAGTAATCATTCCAACATTGAAATACCTGTGATGACTTTGGCATGCGGCTTCCTCAGTGGAAGCATGTTTCTGCAGAGTTAGGACAACAAGCAGAATCCCGAGTCCGGGAGATTTCTGGCAAAACCAACAGATGACAACAACAAATTTTGACCCTGATGTTGGTACAAGATGGAGACACAGAGTACACAATCTCTGCACTTGTATAATCAAAGTGTTCCCAAGTTGATCTTTCGACTGATGGACAACCATTTGTCAATTTTACAATTTGATTTTGGGGAAGGGGCTGATATGGGTATGTTTAAACAGAGTCTGATAGAAGCGAGATTGGTATTGAATTGTAGCAGGCACGAACTACATGGTGAGGTTATCAGACGCCCCAGTCTTAGTACAGTTTCTGCCTAATCAATTCACAGGATTGGAAATCACTAGAAGGCCATTGGTGCCAACATTGGTTCAAGTAATGAAAAATTACAGTCTTTTGTTTTGGAGATTTATATTTCCTCCAGGCATGGAGAGAATTTTATTACCATCTTCAAAAGATTATGTATTTCTTTGAAGAAATGCTTTATTGAAATGTTATGAACAGATAAAATCCACCATAATGCAAAAACTTATCCAGTGTGGTCACTCACAACACAGGGATGTCATTTAGTGCACCAGCAGCCCGAGTGATATGGTGGCAGACAGTTAGTAGGCTATAATTTGACTGCACCTCAAGATTCCCATTATTCTAAGTGTCTCCGAGAGCTTTATGAGAGAGAAGATCGAAGTTGTGTTGTGGGAATCTTTTTAGCTGTTTTACCATAAATATTTAAGGCACCAAAACAGAATTTGTGGATGACAAGATTTTCTCTTCTCACATTTGATAGTGGATGAAGCAAGAGTCAGCCTCATTTAGAGTGACCGACTTCTACATATCACCAGTACTTTCAGGGTGCTTTTGAGAGAGCGTGGTTGGCTGCAGTTGAACTGTTGATAAAGCACGTAACCTGAATGATCACCTCTAGGGTTCTCCTAGTAAATAAAAGGTTGACTGATGGGGTTTTTGCCTGAGATACTCCTTGAATAATGTATTGGAGCCAAACTGTAATAGTGGTAGCGGGAAGATTCTGAAGCTGAGAATGTTGACTTGCACAGCAATTCATCAAAGGGAACAGGTGAAAGATAAGAAGATGATTCTAGTCCTTCCTCGTTTCAAAATGAACGTAAAATAAGGGAAAAAATGTTGTATAAACGACATGCATCTGTTTATGCAAATCAAAAAATGTTTACATCATCAATGATATACACAAAAAATGTACAAAAATAATGTCAAAATTATCTATTTATATATTATCCAATTTCAGTAATGTTTAGATATGTATTTGAGTCATAAATTTGATTTTTCTTTTTGATTACTGTCTGTCTTGTTGAAAGAGACATTTCAGATTGTAAGTTTAGATATTACATGTTTTATCAAATTGTTACATACTGTGTGACGAAAGTGCAACATATTTGGATTTGTTTTATTTACTAAGTGTTTGTGAGTACTATGGATGATATGAAACTCAGACAAGGCTAAGATAATTTCCATGAACATCGAGCATATGAGGATATTGTTTGATTCCAGTGTGTAAGATAAGGTACCATGAGATAAGATATTTATTGCATATGGGGATATTGTTTGATTCCAATGTGTAAGATAAGATACCATGAGATAAGATATTTATTGCATATGGGGATATTGTTTGATTCCAATGTGTAAGATAAGGTACCATGAGATAAGATATTTATTGCATATGGGGATATTGTTTGATTCCAATGTGTAAGATAAGGTACCATGAGATAAAATATACATTCCACATACAAAGGAAGTACTTTCTAGCAATGTCATTGTAAAACTAGTATAATACAGGAGACAATATGAGAACTGAGTTAAAGTGTGCTTACGTTGCAAGTGCAGAAAAATATTTAAAATTGTAGATACAATAACAGACTGTTGGTAAACATTATTATGAATTGTTCCTTTTTTGCAAAGTGTACCAATTCTTTGTAATGATCGAGGATTAGTTGGAGAAGTGATTCTCTTTCTTGAATATATTTGATACAAAATTTGCATAGTATTGCTCATCCTCTATGAGCTTTAAGCGCTTAGAGCATGCTTATGCAGGGAGTACTGCACCATATAAATGGTCTACTACTACTACTACTACTTATATTATAATATACACTACATGTAGTACTGAGACTTTGTTCTTTTGTGTGTGTTTATTTATATATTCCAGTTTCAATCAACTGATGCAGTAAATAAAAGACATTTTTTCATTCCCAGCAGGATATGTTTGACCTGATTCTAGAGACAGTCTTCTGTAAGATGCTTGTTGTATTGGTCTCTGTCTACAGCAAGGGCAATTTATCTTGCTCACAGCTGAATCCCTGCAACTATATCACTCCCTGGACCGTGTCAGGACGCCATGATCTGATTGGCTGGTTTCATCCCGGAAAGGAGATGGCAAGGTCATCCCAGTTGTTACCAGGCAACACAATTGGCATCCATTGCCAAATTTCATTACAGTAATAGAAATTGTAAAGCATTATGTCAACATAGAGGAACAATAGGGATCTGTTACATTTATGATTGATGCCTGTAAGTATTAAGGGGTTCCCAACTGGTTGTGTTGGCTTACGGTGACCATGCACAGCCACTGTTCAAATTAAAACATGCACTTGAGGGTGTAAAGCTCTGCTTGAATATGGATAATATTCATTGGAAACGTAATTGCATGCAACAGGGGAGTTTGGGGATTACGGAGTTCTTTAGTGCTTGATAAAGCCCTGGTTGCAATTTTGCAAGTAAATGGTCACATTACCAGTACCTAGGGACTACCAGTGGGCAAATCACTCACGCACTTCCACTAAAGAGGAAAAGGACTTTTTCATTGATTATATGGTATGGAAAGTCACGGATGCACTGAAATATAACTAAAAATGTGTGTGAAATCACCAAGATGACTGAAGTGTATCTAGTCAATCAGGAATATTAAAATATTTATTTTTCCAGTCTCTAGTCGCAAGGTTTAAAAATGTACAACGAAAAGATTTTACTTTTTTTATGTTCTGTGTTGAAACATAAAAACGGTAATGATTTGAAAAGAATTTTGTGCACAAATGAGTTTAAGAATATCAAATTTCTGAAGCAATGTAATAAGGCTGAATTAAATTTTACAGGCTAGAGAGCAAGGGATATTGATTTTTGGGGTGAAAATAATAGTGTGTTTAATCCAGATCCATCTTTCTGACGCACAGTCAAGAATGGATGAATATTTAGCT